AAGGAGTATAAACTTCATTAAAGAAAAGCTAGGAACAACGCTAGAAGTCCTAATACACAAAGAGTCTTCCAGGTATCCTGAAAAACCTGCAACCAGGAGAAGATAAAGTAGATGAATGGGATCTTTTAAGAATCAAATCCCTATGCACATCCAAAAACTTCTCCAACAGGGTAAAAAGGGAAGCCACTGACTGGGAAAAAATATCTGGTAATGACATGTCAGATAAGGGACTTATATCCAGAATTTATAAAATACTTGAGCACCACAACAACATAAAGGTAAATAATCCAATCCTTGGTTTTTAAGTTGGAAAAAGACTTCAAAATTTAAATCCTTAAATACTTTTATCATGAATTATAAAAAAATTATTATTGGAAAGTATATTTACTTCCTCCATCTCCATATTTTTATTGTTACACATATAAGTATTCATATATTTGTGTTTCATAGTGTTTTGTGTACATAGTGGTTTGTTTTGTGTGTTTCACACTTTTATCCATTGACATTATGTTTCATACAATGTGTTTTACAAATGAATCACCATTGGACTGTGCCCACCATTAACTTTTTGAGCCTAAAAAAAATACCATGCAAAATGGGTGACCCTGGAGGACATTATGTTGAGTGAAATATCTCAGTCATAAAAGAGCAAATACTGCATAGTGCCACTGTTGTAAAACGGGACTGACATTGGGTTTGGAGGAGACTGAGAAAGAGAGGATAAATTATGTATGCTGCATTAAAACAGATGACGGAGAGAACTGCTTAAAAGGGATATATGATTAGGTATTATTGTCATGATAGGAGTCAGAACAAAAGTTTCATAGGGAGTGGACTTGGGGGGAGGGACTATATAACAATGAAAGAATTTCCCTTTTCAAAGATAAGAGCGAACTAGTAGGGAGGTTGGGCAGGAAAAAGTGCAACAATGAATGAATGGAAATTAAAAGTCTTTGTAAACTTTCATTAAAATTAATAAAGATAAAAAGGCAAGCAGATTCAGGAAGAAATATCATTAAAGTTTCTATGATAACACATGAAAAAGAATACAGAGAATTATAAAATATAAAAAATATCATACAGTTTTACAGACATAATTACATGAACAAGCATTTTTGATAATGCAGTCAGATCCTTTAGGTTACTGAGTCCAGGACTATTGTAATGTGTTTAGAGAAATGCTGATTTTCAGAGAGAAAAATATACTAGTACAGATTAAGGTGATGGTTTCATTTATTGAAAATAATGTATGTATTTGTATATCTTATCTAAGTTGATGCACTAATTAGATATTGAATCTTTTACGGTCAGTGATTTGTCTGTCAGATATGAGATCTATAGTAGAAGAAAGGTAAGAGAAATATTTGCCATATTAAATTTGTTGTTGTGCCATCAATTTAGGACTGACTCAGCTGACCTTTCAGCCACTTTTCAGAGGCAGTAAATCACACAGGAAGGGATTGTCCATCTTTTTCCTTTGGTGGCTTTGAACTTTAGGTCTTTGAATTGTCAGCTTAGCTCCTTACTCTGGTCCAGTGATTAGAGGTCTCTATAAAGTTTGGACATTAGAGCTAAATTGAAGTAAAGGAATTCTTTACAAAATTTTTTTAAATTGTCCTGGCTTGGACACAGGAGCATACGTACAGTGAGATACTGCCTGAATAGACAGATATGACTGTAGCTAGTTTTGTATAGTTAGGAACAAATTTGAAAGATTTCACATCTTAAAAGTTTTTTATTAGTGATGTTCAGGAGCTAGAGATGACTTAACTCTGATTAGGGATACTGATTTTATTTACCAGCATATTTTCTGCAAGTGTTTGCTTTTTATGCATATTATAATACATTTAAAAAGCTGTCTTAATGACTGATACAGATACTATGTAATTTAGTCAGCATATGTTTAAACAAATTTTTTTATATTTAGTTGTAATATATATGCATATGTATTTACTATATATATATGTATATTCTGAAAAGTTCTACAAATATAAAGAAACAATATTAACCAATTTTGTTTCTCATATTAGACAATAGATTCACAGTTTTTAGTAGATATTATTAAATTGTTAGTCACATATTTTGTGTTTGTACTTGTTTGTATTCTCATTGTCAAGTGTTTAAACGTTCAAAAGCCAACTACATTATATTTAGCACCGAATACTATTTTAATAATTAAAATCTTACTCAACATGACTCAGGGTTGTTGTTGTTGTGATATGCTGTCGAGTTGCTTGCGACACATAGCGACCCTATGTACAAGATCCTTAAATGCTGCTCTATCCTGTGCCAAACTCACCTTCTCTGACACATTTATTCCCACCACCCCAATCACAGAATCGATCCATCTCATTGAGGGTCTTCCTTTCCTGTGCCGCCCTTC